ATAATAATAGAATAAAATAATAAAAGTGATAACAATAATAAAAAATTATAAATGTAATAATCATAATAATAAATAGAACAAAATAATAAATGTAATAAAAAGTATTAATAACAGAGTAAAATAATAAATGTAATAATAAAAATAGAGTAAAATAAAAATGTAATAAAAACAATAATAGGGTAAATAATGGAAATGTAATAACAGTAACAATAGAGTGAAATAATAAATGTAATAATAATAATAGAGTAAAATAACAAATGAAATAATAATAAATAGATTATTTATATTTATTTGCCACACTTTTATCCCACCCTTTTCACCCTGAAGGCGATTAAAATAATAAATGTAATAATAATAAAGTAATAAAAGTGATAACACTAATAAAAAAGTAAAATAATAAATGTAATAATAATAATAATAAATAGAGCAAAATAATAAATGTAATAAACATATTAATAATAACAGAGTAAAATACTAAATAACTGTGACTTGAGTATAAGCTGAGGGGGCTTTTTCATCCTTAAAAAAGGCCTGAAAAACTCGGCTTATACTCGAGTGTCTATGGTACTCTAGTTTAGTGAGGGGCTTATTTTTTAGGTTTGCTCAAAGTGTCCCTCTTCTGCCCTTCCAGCCCCAAATACTTCAAGATAGTGCCGGGAGAAGGGATGCCCCTGTCCCACGACCCCACCTGCAAAGGGGACCTCTACATGTACTTCGACATCGTCTTCCCCGCAAGGCTGACCCCGGCCAAGAAGGACCTCCTGCGGGAAGCCCTCCTGACGTGAGGAGGACCCCCGTCTGCTTCATCTCACCTCCAAACAAGAAATAAAGGCCATCTATTTTCTCCAGACCCATTCTCTTCTCTTGATGTTGGACAGAATTTGGAAGCAAGAAGTTGTGAGGTGTGCCATTAATTATATAAATCCTTGCCAATGGCTCCATGTAGTGTAAATTCCCTTGTCTGTGCAGTGGTTAATCTGCTCCTGAACTTTTAAAAGGGCTTGAACCTATTTAGGAAGACAAGGTTCAGCCAACCTGGATAGTTCTGCATACAATTCAGGCTTAAAACTGGAGTGTATTCAGAGTCATCACTGGGATAATTCCACTAGGCTCTCAATCCAAGTGATGCTTGAATTCATACAAGGCGTTGTGTAAATGTGGTTGAGAAAGGTATAACTTGGGCATGGGCAAACTCTGGCTCCCTCTCCAGGTGCTTTGGACTTGGACTCCCAAAATTGGGTTGGACTTGGACTCCCATGATTCCTAACAGCCAATTGTGGGAGTTGAAGTCCAAAACACATGGAGGACCCAAGCTTGTCCTGCTATTTTGATTATGTGATTTAGCAGTGTTGTAGCCCACGTCAAGCTGTGAGGTCAGGCCAGGTAAGAAAATTATCACTATCATCATTTGCAGGGTTCCGTCCTAGGCCCGGTCCTGTTCAGGATCTTTATTAATGACTGAGATGAAGGGCTAGAAGGCAGGATCATCAAGTTTGCAGACGACACCAAATTGGGAGGGAGAGCCAAGACTCCAGAGGACAGGAGCAGGATTCAAAACGATCTTGACAGATTAGAGAGATGAATGGCCAAAACTAACAAAATGAAGTTCAACAGGGACAAATGCAAGATACTCCACTTTGGCAGGAAAAACGAAATGCAAAGATACAGAATGGGGGACATGGCCTGGCTCGAGAGCAGGACGTGTGAAAAAGTTCTTGGAGTCCTCGTGGACAACAAGCTAAACATGAGCCAACAATGTGATCTGGCGGCAAAAAAAGCCAATGGGATGTTGGCCTGCATCAATAGGAGCCTAGTGTCTAGATCTAGGGAAGTAATGCTCCCCATGCTCTATTCCGCCTTGGTTAGACCACACCTGGAATATTGTGTCCAATTCTGGGCACCACAATTCAAGAGAGATATTGACAAGCTGGAATGTGTCCAGAGGAGGGCGACTAAAATGATCAAGGGTCTGGAGAACAAGCCCTATGAGGAGCGGCTGAAAGAGCTGGGCATGTTTGGAGGAAATATGATAGCCATGTATAAATATGTGAGAGGAAGCCACAGGGAGGAGGGAGCAAGCTTGTTTTCTGCTTCCCTGGAGACTAGGACGCGGAACAATGGCTTCAAACTACAAGAGAGGAGATTCCATCTGAACATGAGGAAGAACTTCCTGACTGTGAGAGCTGTTCAGCAGTGGAACTCTCTGCCCCGGAGTGTGGTGGAGGCTCCTTCTTTGGAAGCTTTTAAACAGAGGCTGTTTGGGGTGATTTGAATGCAATATTCCTGCTTCTTGGCAGACGGTTGGACTGGATGGCCCATGAGGTCTCTTCCAACTCTTTGATTCTATGATTCTATGATATATAACAAGATTAGTACACAGCAAACAAGATCACTCTGCTGGCTTTTGTATTTGATGACACATCAGACACTTCCCAAGTGTCTAGGACGGAGTGATGTATCGGCGAATGATGCGTGCAATTCCAAGTACAGTGGCCTTTTTGCAGCTGACAGGTGATGATTTTGTCAGCGCTGATTGTTTTTAAGTGCAGGCCAAGGGTTTTCAGGACTGCACCCAGTGTGCTAATCACCACTGGGACCACCTTGACTTTCTTGTGCCAGAGTCTTTGCAGTTCGATCTGTAAATCCTCATATTGTGTAAGCTTCCTCTTCTTAATATTATTATTACTACTACTCATCGCAGCTACAGGGTGCAAGGCAGGTACAACACAAACTACATCAGGTTTGCTTTCTCTTTCAGCTTTATTTTTTAATATAAAAAAACAAGTCATGCAACAACAAGAAATCTTTTTAAAAGGCGGGGGAAAATAATTCCATCACCACTTTGCACCATCACAGATAGCAGCACAGAAGCAGGATACAACATATAGGAAACCTCTAGGTTAGGCCTAGGCAAACTTGGGCCCCTCCAGGTGTTTTGGACTTCAACTCCCACAATTCCTAACAGAAAAACACATATGTTACCAGCACATAAAACCTCCATTAAACTCTGGAGAAAACATTATTAAAACAGGGATGTGGAAAAGAAATAAATACCTACTAGGAGTGTCTAGTTTGCCAGGCTGTGGTCTAACATTTAACTGAGGCAGATGACACTGTCTCAGCCTCTTCATCTCCAGCCCACTGAGCTGGAGATGGTATCATGCCCCCTCTAAGCAAGTGGTTCTCAACCTGTGTGTCCCCAGGTGTTTTGGCCTACAACTCCCAGAAATCCCAGCCAGTTTACCAGCTTTTTCTGAGAGTTGAAGGCCAAAACATCTGGGGACCTACAGGTTGCGAACTACTGACTTAGAGGGAACATGATACCGTTGCTTCTGGAATGGCTACGAATTACTGTAGCTCTTGTTCACACCCTACATTACTGAATCCAGCCCGTTCCTCGTACCACCAATGACATATTTGTCCACTATAGTACACAAAGGGGCATTGCTTAATCCAAAGGGAAGAACGTTGCCTCCAAAAACACAACCTGCTTTGGTCAGAGAGGAGAGAGCCACTTCCTCCTTCCATTTGCTTATTTCACTCTTAAGCAAAACTTAGGAGGAACTTTTATGGCTCACTTTACTGATATCACCATCCAGATGTTGCCAAACTACAACTCCCAGCCTTTCACGTCTCTACTGGCCAGCTGATGGGAGTTGTAGCCCGGGATCATCTATCTGGGAGGCTGCATTTGTGCCAGAACACCAAGTGCTTTCCAAAGCAAGTTGCATTGCACAGACAAACAGTTTTCCATTTATTGTCGAGGGCTTTCATAGCTGGTATCACTGGGTTGTGAGTTTTTGGGGCTGTATGGCCATATTCCAGAAACATTCTCTCCTGACATTTCGCCTGCATCTATGGCAGAGGTTGTGAGGTTCCTCGCAACCTCTGAGAATGCCTGCCATAGATGCAGGTGAAACATCAGGAGCGAATGCTTCTGGAACATGGCCTGGAAAACTCACAACAACCCAGTTTTCCATTTATTGTCGAAGGCTTTCATAGCCAGTATCACTGTGTTGTGAGTTTTCGGGGTTGTATGGCCATGCTCCAGAAGCATTCTCTCCTGAGGTTTCACCTACATCTATGGCAGGCATCCTCACAACCTCTGGGGAGGCCTGCCATAGATGCAGGCGAAACGTCAGGAGAGAATGCTTCTGGAACATGGCCTGGAAAACTCACAACAACCCAGTTTTCCATTTATTGTCGAAGGCTTTAATAGTTGATATCACTGGGGTGTGAGTTTCCTGGGATGTCTGGCCATATTCCAGAAGCATTCTCTCCTGACGTTTCACCTGCATCTATGGCAGGCATCTTCACCACCTCTGGGGATGCCTGCCATAGATGCAGGCGAAACATCAGGAGCGAATGCTTATGGAACATGGCCAGACAGCCTAGATTGTGAATTTTCGGGGCTGTATGGCCCTGGTCCAGAAGCATTTTCTCCAGACGTTTCACCTGCATCTATGGCAAGCATCCTCACAACCTCTGGGGATGCCTGCCATAGATGCAGGCAAAACATCAGGAGAGAATGCTTCTGGAACATGGCCTGGAAAACTCACAACGACCCAGCTTTCCATTTTCTGTCAGCTTTGCTGAAATAAGTTTCTCCAATTTTGCAAAAGCTTGCAACTCGTATTCCATAACCAAACAGGAGGGCTATTCACTACAGAGTTATCATGCTATTATTTCATTTTAGCAACCACGTTTCCTTCCCTTGGGATGCTGTGGTTTGCAGTCTGGCGAGACACTACAGCTTTCCGGCTGAGTGTTCCAAGGACCGCTTCCTAAACTGCAAATCCCAGGAGTTGCCATTGGCAGTGAAGCAGAATCATAGCATTATAGGGTTGTTGTAGCTTTTTCGGGCTATATGTCCATGTTCTAGAAGCATTCTCTCCTGACGTTTCGCCTGCATCTATGGCAAGCATCCTCAGAGGTTGTGAGGTCCTCACAACCTCTGAGGATGCTTGCCACAGATGCAGGTGAAACGTCAGGAGAGAATGCTTCTAGGACATGGCCATATAGCCCGAAAAAGCTAAAACAACCCAGTGATTCCAGCCATGAAAGCCTTCAACAATACATAGCATTATAGTTGTGTAGTGAGTGCAACTAGGTCCAAGGTTATAGGTATCATGAGCAGAAGGACGCCTTTTAATCCTTTGCAAAAATGACCGCACACTTGATCTTCCCCTGGCATGCCGAGATCCACACTCCCACGCCTGGAGATTTACTTAATTCCCAGGATTATGATCTTCCGGCGAAGGCTGACCTTTCGTTATCAAGTGGGATCGAGTCCAGCAATGTGTGTTTGATCAGGAGGCTTCCGTGCGGGGGCGCCTCAAGAGCGCCCCTCGGGGATTCGCGCTATACGCAAATGCGTATCTTGCCTATTGCTTCAGCTGCCCCTGGTCAGAAGATACTACAAGGACCTTCCAATCCAACCCTCTGCTGCCATGCAAGAACACCCAATCTAAGCCCTCCTGACAGATGACCATGCAGTTCCCAAAACATTCTAGAGCATGCATGGGTAAACTGCAGCCTACTAGGTGTTTAAAGCAGTCCTGGGCCAAATTCGGCCCTCCGGGTGTTTTGGACTTCAACTCCCACAATTCCTAACAGCTGGTAGGCTGTTAGGAATTGTGGGAGTTGAAGTCCAAAACACCCAGAGGGCCAAAGTTGGCCCAGGCCTGCTTTAAAGAGTGCAATTATAAAATAATAATAATTTAAAAACAACAATAATAATTTAATGCCAATCGTTTGAGATTCAGGCACAGACCTCCCTTTCCTTCTCAATCACTTTGATCTCCCAACTTTCTAAAACTTTCATTTGGCCCTAATCAAAGCCCTGCAACAACTCCCAGATTCTCTCATGCTGATTTTGGGGATTCTGGGAACTGTAGTCCAAACTCATGAACAGCAAAGCGATTCTCCAGAAGTGCTTTCTGCTGATCCTTTTGTGCAAATGATCGACATTGCTTTGACAGAATGCAGAACGTGGGATGCGTATGGAAAATCTGGATGGTGCTCGTACCGAAGCCAAGTTTCCCATTCCAGAACTTAACAAAGTGCTTTGACAAGAGGCAAATTTGACGAACACAATAGAGAGCAGCACATCAATTTTTAAAAATCCGCTAAAAGGAGCGACCGGGGCACCTGCTCGTCTCGTACTAATGGCAAGACGTTTTCTAAGGACGACGTAAAGAGAACGTAAGAGACGAGTTGGGAGAGGATCCAAATCGAAGATTTGCGATGTGTGGACGCATGATGAGATCTATCTGCAAAGTGTGGCTCCTCCTGGCTCAGAAGGGGGATTCCCATGATCCACGGGCCGCCATCAAGGCACGTTTCAGCTGCTCGTAGGTCACAAACATCACCACGTTCCAGGAGCCCAGACGTAGAAAGGAGGGCGTGAAACTAATGGAAAGGGAGATATATTCAATAGGAAAAGAGTTAGTCCACTGGATATAAACAGGATTATAGAGTTGGAACCCAGGACGTGCTCTTCCTGAGGGCCGGCGGGAAGCCTCCCTGCGGGGGCACCTCAAGAGCGCCCCTTGGGGACTTGCACTATACGCAAATGCGTATCTTGCCTATTGTTTCAGCCGCCCCTGGTCGGAAGACACTACAAGGACCACCCAATCCAACCCCCTGCTGCCATTCAAGAACACCCAGTCTAAGCCCTCCTGACAGATGACCATGCCGTTCCTAAAACATTCTAGAGCATGCATGGGTAAACTGCAGCCTACTAGGTGTTTCGGACTTCAACTCCCACAATTCCTAACAGCCTACTAAATCAGGAGTAGCTGCACGGCAGGGGTTTGGAGTCTCTTCAAACTCTAAGGCAGGTGTGGGCAAATTTTGACCCTCCAGGTGTTTTAGACATCAACTCCCACAATTCCTAGCAGCCCACTGGCTGCTAGGAATTGTGGGAGTTGAAGTCCAAAACACCTGGAGGGTTGAAGTTTGCCCATGCCTAGATTAAGACCTAGCAAAACTAGATTTCCCAAAATTCCATAGCATTGAGTGATGACAATTCAAGTGAACTCATAGTACAGGGTGTGCCAAAAAAGTCAGAAAGGGGTTTCAAATAATTAATAACGCCTTTGTTTTTAATTTACAGTAGATATGTGTGTGTGTGTGTGTGTGTGTGTAATTTTCATTTGTGGGATTAACATAACTCAAAAACCACTGGACGAATTGACACCAAATTTGAACACAAGACACCTATCAGGCCAACGAGTGATACTCACTCATAAAAACACTGAAAAACACAACAGAAGAGACTTAAAAAGCTAAAAAAGAATGCATTATAATACATGTGCAAAACCACATATATACACAAGCACACATATATACACATATACAGAAATATATACAGAAATATATACACACATATATACACACGCAAAACACATATACACAGAAAGGGGAAGGAGAGAAAGAGGGAGAGAAAGAGGGAAAGAAGGAGAGAAGATAAAAAGTGAAAAAAGGAAGGAAAGAGAGGGAAGGAAGGAGAGAAGGAACGAAAGAAAGAGTGAAGGAAGAGGTAGAGTAGGAAGAAAGAAGGGAAAGAAAAAGAAGGAAGGAAAGAAAGAGGGAGAGAAGGAAGGAAGGAGAGAAAGAAAGAAAGGAGAGAAAGAGGGAGGGAAGCAATGCGTGGTGGTACAGCTAGTATATATATGTGTGTGTGTATATATGAAATAAAATTACATAATATTACATTACGTTATGTGTAAACAGTTTCAAAAAGGTTATAAAAATATAATACTAATACTAATATGATACTAACATTGTGCTGTACTAATAATATAATTTATACACATATAATACTGATAAGAATATTACAGTGTAGTGGTATAGTACAATATAGTAATATATATAATACTAATATTGTGCTGTGCTAAGAGTATAATATATTGAAAACACATATAAAATTGATAATATTATAATGTAATACAATATAATACTTATAATAATGAACTGGGTTGTGGCGCAGCTGGTTGGAAGTCAGCTGCATTAAAATCACTACTGACTGAAAGGTCATAAATTCGAAACCAGCCTGGGTCGGAGTAAGCTCCTGACCATTTGACTAGCTTGTTGTCAACCTTTACATCCCGAAAGACAGTTGTACCTGTCAAGTAGGAAATGTAGGTATTTCTTATGCGGGGAGGCTAATTTAACTGATTTACAACACCGTAAAACTCTCCAGCAGCATGCAACAGAATGAGGAAGTACTCAATCGGTGTCACATGTGGAAGGTGAAGCAACAGCTCCCCCAGTGGCCGGAATTAAAAGAGCAAACCCTCATGAAGCTGGAATGTTAAACAGCCTCTGTGTGTCTGTCTATATATGTTGCCGAACAGCCAAATGTTGACATCCTACATCATCATGGAAAAGATTCCTGCTTACCCTTTGTAAAAAGCCAGTGGCCCTTCCTTCTGGAGCATGGTCAGAGCGCACTTCACGGCACTTCCGTATTGACCGGGCGCAGAGTTCATGTATCTGGTCTTGACGACATCGACAGGGGAGGCGATGACGGTGGTGCAGAAGCCGGCTCCAAACGCAGAGGTAAAGTGGCAAGGGAGGTTGTCTGCAAGGGAGAGAGAAGGAGAACCCATCATCCACCATTCACAGGGTTACTGAAAGGAGCCAATCATATCTCTAATATGTAAACATCGCTTTGAATGTTATTAAGCCATATTTAATCATCTAGAGTTGATGTGGTGGTAGTAATCTTTGTGGGTAGTCAGCCTCTCCCCTCCCGACATCCCTGTTGCCCCGGCACTATAAGAGGGTTTTGCCAGTCCAGTCCCTCCTGTTGCCGTGTAGTATCGAGGCAACGGTGTAGTAATGGTGTGTCTGCAGACCATATTTTCGTTCTGGTGGTCCACGGAACACAGGTTGGGAATCACTGGTCTAACTCATCGTGTCACTGTGGCCCTTTCTTTAAACATACCGCACTCAGTTAGCGTCAGAGGAAAGCAATGGCAAAGAAGGAAGGGAGGGAGGAAGGGAGGGAGGAAAGAAAGGAGAAAGAAAGGAAGAAAGAAAAGGAAAGGAAAGGAAGAAAGAGAAGGAAGGAAGGAAGGAAGGAAAGAAAGAAAGAAAGAAAGAAAGAAAGAAAGAAAGAAAGAAAGAAAGAGGGAGGGAGGGAGGGAGGAAGAAAGGAAAGAAAGAAGGAAGGAAAGGAAGAAAGAAAGAGAAGGAAGGAAATAATGAAGGAAGAAAGAAAGAAGAATGAAGAAAGAAAGGAAAAGAAAAGGAAGGGGAGGGAGGAAAGAAGGAAAGAAAGGAAAAAAGGAAGGAAGGAAGAGAAGGAAGGAAGGAAGGAAGAAAGAAGGAAGGAAGGAAAGAAGAAGAAGGAAGGAAGGAAGGAAAGGAAAGAAGAAAGAAAAGGAGGGAGGAAAGGAAGAAAGGAAGAAAGGAGGGAGGGAAGGAAAGAAGGAAGAAAAAGAAAGAAAAAAAGAAGGAAGAAAGGAAGGAAGGAAGAGAAGGAGAAAAGGAAGAAGGAGAAAAGAAAGAAGAAGAAGGAAGGAAGGAAAGAAGAAAAGAAAGGAAGGAAGGGGGAGGAGAAAGAAGAAAGGAAAGGAGAAGGAAGGAAGGAAGGAAAGGAAGAAGAAGAAAGGAGAAGAAGGAAGGAAGGAAGAGAAAAGAAAAGGAGGAAAGAAAGAAGGAAAGAAGAAGAAGAAAGAAGAAAGGAAAGAAGGAAGGAAGGAAAGAAGAAAGAAAAGGGAGGGAGGAAGAAGGAAGAAGGAAAGAAAGAAGGAGGGAGTAAGAAGAAGGAAGGAAGGAAGGAAAGAAAAAAGGAAGGAAGAAAGGAAAGGAAGAAAGAAAGAGAAGGAAGGAAATAATGAAGGAAGAAAAGAAAGAATGAATGAAAGAAGGAAAGAAGAAGAAAAGAAAAGGGAGGGAGGGAGGAAAGAAGGAAGGAAGAAAGGAAAGAAGGAAGGAAGGAAGGAGGAGGAAGAAATGAATGAATGAATGAATGAATGAAAGAAGGAAGGAAGGAAAGAAGAAAGGAAAAGGGAGGGAAGAAAGAAGGAAGGAAGGAAGGAAAGAAGGAAGGAAGGAAAAAGAAAGAAGGAAGGAAGGAAGAAAAGGGAGAGAGGGAGGAAAGAAGGAAGGAAAGAAAGAAGGATGGAAAAAAGAAAGGAAGAAAAGAAAGAAAGGGAGGGGGGAAAGAAGGAAGAAAGTAAAGAAAGGAAGGAAGAAAAGAAAGAAAAAGAAAGAAAGAAAGAAAGAAAGAAAGAAAGAAAGAAAGAAAGAAAGAAGGGAGGAAGGGAGGGAAAGGAAGGGAAGGGAGGAAACACCTGGAGGGCCACAGGTTTGTTGCCACTGCTTTAGGTGCAACCCTTGATCTGTCCGTCATCCTCACCTGTCATTAGGTTGTATCTCACGATCATATCCTTGATCAGGTCATAGGTCACTAGTTCGGCACAGTTCACAAGGGCGTTCCGAGTGATATTAGGTGAAGTACCTAAAACCAAAAAATGGGGAGAAACAGGACATGTCAAAATAAGCTAATTGTTTATGCAGTTAACAGCCACAGTCTTGAATTCAGGCAAAGGAGAAGATCCCAGTCCCTAAGTCAAGAACTACTCAGTGTTTTTCGGGCTATATGGCCATATTCTAGAAGCATTCTCTCCTGACGTTTTGTCTGCATCGATGGCAAGCATCCTCAGAGGTTGTGAGACCTCACAACCTCTGAAGATGCTTGCCATAGAGGCAGGGGAAATGTCAGGAGAGAATGCTTCTAGAACATGGCCATATAGCCTGAAAAACCTACAACTCAGTGATTCCATCCATGAAAGCCTTCGACAATACTCAGTGGGGTTTTTTTGACACACATGAATATTTACCAAGCCTCAATTTCTTTGGTCGCTTTCAAAGCGAAGATTCCAAACGTCTTGACTTGAGGAGAAGAAACACAGAAGCAGCAGCCAAGAATCCAGAAACAGATGTCCTATTTCTATGCTGGAGCTGTTTGCAATTTGTAATGTAGATTTCAAAGTATGTATGCATGTTTGAAATGCAGTAGCTATGTGCCGAGTGTATTCCTGTGTGGAAAGAGTTAAATGAACCATGGAGGGAACAGCATTCCTAGAGAGGTCATAAATCAAGTGTATAGAGCAGATGGACGCAGCATTGTGTGCCGTATGTCATACGTCACTCTGGAATGCAGGAGGTGTGGACTAGTGCTGATAACAGACTGTTCGTGTGTTCGCGATGCTACGACGAGATGGGAGGAAGCAAGTTTTACGATGTTCTCAGTGTTAAATAGGTTCTAATGTATATAGCTGTAAATAAAGTAGTTTATAGCCTAAGGTGGCTGTGATTGATCTGTTTCCTGCCTTGCTGTGCGGACAATGCCACTGACAGGCAAAATGTCAGGAGAGAATGCTTCTAGAACATGACCATACAATCCAAAAAACCTACAGCAACCCAGACAAAGAGTTCTTTCTCCCACCCTGGACATCATTCCACAGATATATAAACCCCACTTGCTTAGTTTCCAACAGACCTCACAACCTCTGAGGATGCCTGCCATAGATGTGGGTGAAACGTCAGGAGAGAATGCTTCTGGAACATGGAAGACTCACAGCAACCCAATCCAGAAAGGAGATACTACCTAAACATTAAGTAGAACTTCCTGACAGTGAGAGATGTTTGATAGTTGAATTTGTGTGTACCTTTCCATGAATGTTGAAATGTAGCACTCCTGCATGACATGGGGTTGGACTAGATGGCCTTTGTGTTTCTTTAAAACTCATTCTAAGTGACTGGAATCACACGAAGCACAGTCTACTTCCCAAAAAGAAGAGTCCTAGATCTTTTCTGAATCCTTTTGCAAGTCAATAACTCCACATATGGGCGTCTTAAGCTTTCTCCTTGACTCAGTGCATCCAATTGCTCTCCTTCGCCTACCTTTCCAAAGGCCTCGGATGCCCTCCTCCCTGGCGATGGTCTTGTAGGCATCCAGCGTGCCCTGGTAGCGCTTGCTGCCCTCCATCCGGGCTTGTGCTTGGAAGCGCACTTTCACCACGTCCGTTGGCTGGGCCACCGCCACCGCCATGGCTCCTGTGGTGCATCCTGCAAGGAGGCGGCTGCCGATCCCAGCATCTGGCCAAGTTAAAGAGACAACCATTTGGTTACGAATAGGCAGCACAGGATCACAACCCACTCGCTTACCCACATGGGAAAACATACATTCTCTCTAAGCATCTCCTAGACCAGGCCTGGGCAAACTTGGGTCCTCCAGGTGTTTTGGACTCTAACTCCCACAATTCCTAAACCCTACTGACTACTAGGAGTTGTGGTAGTTGAAGTCCAAAATACCTGGAGGTTTGCCCATGCTTGATCTACAGAAATCTATCTTTTCTGTTTGTATAGTTCATGGATTGATGGTTGGGTGGGTGGATGAATAGATAGATCTAGGCAGATGGATAGGTAGATGGATAGAGTGAAAGAGATAGTTGATAGATGAGTGGGTGGTTGGATAGGTGGATGGATGGGCGGATGGATATAGTGAAAGAGATAGTTGATGGATGGGTGGGTGGTTGGATAGGTAGATGGATGTATGGATAGACAGATAGGCAGAATGATAGAGGGAAAGAGATAGTTGATGGATGGGTGGATGGATAGGTGGATGGATGGAGAGATAGATGGACAGATGGATAGAGTGATAGTTGATGGATGTGTGGATGGATGGATGGGCAGATGGATAGAGTGAAAGAGATAGTTGATAGATGTATGGGTGGTTGGATAGGTGGATGGATAGATAGGCAGAAGGATAGGTGAAAGAGATAGTTGATAGGTGGATGGGTGGTTGGATAAGTGGATGGATGGATGGAAGGATGGATGGGCAGATGGATAGAGTGAAAGAGATAGTTGATAGGTGGATGGGTGGTTGGATAGGTGGATGGATAGGTGGATGGATGGATAGACAGATAAGGAGATGGATAGAGTGAAAGAGAGATTAATGAGTGGGTGGATGGTGGATGCATAGACCAATAGACAGGTAGACAGATATATAGATGAGAGAGAGAGGTGATGATGACAGATAAATAGAATCATGGATTGATAGATAGAATTGGAGACTCCTCGAATCAGAAGGGATCTCCAGAGGGCATCCAGTTCAACTTTGTTCCGCCATGCAAGAAGACACAACCCAAGCCTTCCCAACAGGTGGCCATCCAGCCTGTGTAGATTGATGGATGTATAAGAGAGAGCAACAATAGATAGATAGATAGATAGATAGATAGATAGATAGATAGATAGATAGATAGATAGACAGACTCCTAGCGTTGGAAGGCCATCCAGTACAACCTCCTTCTGCCATTCAAGAAGATACAGTCTAAGTCTTCCCAACAGATGACTATCCAACCTGGGTGGATGGATGGATGGATGGATGGATGGACAGGCAGATGGATAGAGTGAAAGAGATAGTTGATGGATGGGTGGATGGATAGGTGGATGGATGGACAGATGGGTAGATGGATAGAGTGAAAGAGATAGTTAATGGGTGGCTGAGTGGTTGGAATAGGTGGATGGAGGGATGGATAGATAGACAGATAGGCAGATTGATAGAGTGAAAGAGATAGTGGATGGATGGTTAGATAGATACGTAGATGGATAGAGTGAAAGAAATAGTTGATGGATGGATGGATGGATGGATGGATGGATGGATGGACAGACAGGCAGATGGATAGAGTGAAAGGGATAGTTGATGGATGGGTGTGTGGTTGGATAGGTGGTTAGATAGGTGGATGGATGGATAGACAGATAAGGAGATGGATAGAGTGAAAGAGAGATTAACAATGAGTGGGTGGATGGTGGATGCATAGACCAATAGACAGGTAGACAGATATATAGATGAGAGAGAGAGGTGATGATGACAGATAAATAGAATCATGGATTGATAGATAGAATTGGAGACTCCTCGAATCAGAAGGGATCTCCAGAGGGCATCCAGTTCAACTTTGTTCCGCCATGCAAGAAGACACAACCCAAGCCTTCCCAACAGGTGGCCATCCAGCCTGTGTAGATTGATGGATGTATAAGAGAGAGCAACAATAGATAGATAGATAGATAGATAGATAGATAGATAGATAGATAGATAGATAGATAGATAGACAGACTCCTAGCGTTGGAAGGCCATCCAGTACAACCTCCTTCTGCCATTCAAGAAGATACAGTCTAAGTCTTCCCAACAGATGACTATCCAACCTGGGTGGATGGATGGATGGATGGATGGATGGGATAGATGGATAGATAGGCAGACAGTGGAACTAGATGGATGAGTGAGTCAGTGAGAGAGCGATGGGCAGATAATAGAAGGATAACATAGATAGTCCTTTCTGCCTTGGTGGAGTGCAGCATACAAGGGGGCTCAACCAACTTACGCTCTGAGCCTTTGGTGTAGAACTGCTTCACCGAATCATAGAGTCCAATGCGGACCGAAGCGAAACTCATTTGGCGCTGGAGGCCGGCCACCAGGCCATTGTAAAGGCTTTTGGGCCCCTCGTTCTTCACCATGGTGGCCATGGTGCCAAAGACCCCCTTGTACTGGGCCGTTCTGGTGGTGACCGCCTGCTTCTTCTCTCCTTGGATCTGGACAGGAAAGAACACAAAGAGAAGGAGATGCTTCAGAGTGAGCAAGCAGCAGAATGGAGCCAAGGGACCGCTTTTTATTCCATCCATCTACTAACCTACCTACTATCTATCTATCTATCTATCTATCTATCTATCCATCTATCCATCCATCTACTACCTACAAAAATAAAAATGTATAGGTATGTGTGTTTGTTTGCATTTTCCAAAATGGCTCGCACATCCACAGTGGAACTCTCTGTCTTAGAGTCTGGTGGAAACTTCTTCCTTGCAAACTTTTAAGCAGAGGCTGGATGGCCATCTGTTGGAGGTGCTTTGATTGTGGCAGGGGGTTGGACTAGATGGCCCATGGGGTCTCTTCCAACTCTTATTATTCTATGGTTCCATGAGGGAGTGTAAATCCCCTCTTAGTCATAAAAATGCATTGAATGGCCTTGGGTAAGTCACACTCGCCTCAGAGGAAAGCAATGGCAAGGGAGGGAGGGAGGGAGAAAGGAAGGAAGGAAAGATGGAAGGAAGGAAAGGAAAGAAGGAAGAGGAAAAAGAAAGGAAGAAAGAGAGAAAGAACATGAAAGAAAGGAAGAGAAAGGAAAGAAAGAAAGAAAGAAGAAAGAAAGAAAGAAAGAAAGAAAGAAAGAAAGAAGAAAAGAAAGAAATGAAATGAAAGAAGGGAGAGAGGAAAGAAAGAAGGAAGGAAGAAGAGAAAGAATGAAAGAAGGAAGGAATAAAGGAAAGAGAGAAGGAAGGAAAGAGAAAAAGAAGGAAGGAAAGGAAGGAAGGAAGGAAGGAAGGAGAAAGAAAGAAAAGAAAGAAGAAAAGAAAGAAGAAAGAAGAAGAAAGGAAGGAAGAAGAAAGAAAGAAGAGAAGAAGAAAGAAAGAAAGAAAAAGAAAGAAAGAAGAAAGAAGGAGGAAGAAGGAAAGGAAGGAAGAAAAAGAAAGAAATGAAAGAAGGGAGAGAGGAAAGAAAGAAGGAAGAAGAAGAGAAGAGAGAAAGAAGAAGGAAAAGGAAAGAAGAAGGAAGGAAGAGAAAAAGAAAAAGGAAGAAGGAAGGAAGGAAGGAAGGAAGGGAAGGAAGAAGGAAGGAAGGAAGGAAAGAATGAAAGAAAGAAAGAAAGAAAGAAGAAAGAAAGGAAGGAAAGAAAGAAAGAAAAGGAAAGAAGGAAGGAAGGAAGGAAGGAAGGAAGGAAGGAAGGAAGGAAAATGAAATGAAAGAAGGGAGAGAGGAAAGAAAGAAAGAAGGAAGAAAAAGAATGAAAGAAGGAAGGAAGAAAGAAAAAAGGAAAGAGAGAAGGAAAGAGAAAAAGAAAGAAGGAAAGGAAGGAAAGAACAAAAGAAAGAAAGAAAGAAGGGAGAAAGGAAAGAAAGAAAGAAAGAAAGAAAGAAAGAAGGAAAGAAGGTAAAGAAGGAAGGAAAGAAAGAAAGAAAAGGAAAGAAAGAAGGAAGTAAAGAAACATAGAAAGAAGGAAAGACAGAAAGACAGACAGACAGACAGAAAGAAAGAAAGAAAGAAAGAAAGAAAGAAAGAAAGAAAGAAAGAAGAAAAGGAAGGAACAAAAGAGGGAAGGGAAGGGAAGGAAAGGAAAGGAAAAAGGCAGGCAGGCAAGCAAGCAATCAATGCCAAGGTCCCACTAAACAAAACTTGCCAAGAAATGCCACGCCACATTCCTCTTTGCTTTCCTGCATTACAGCTTCTGTAACAAGAGCAGCACTTGGAGGAAGGCTCCTTTGTGAAAGTTGGGCCCTTGACTTCTGTGCAAATAAGACAAGCAAGACCAGAGGGCAGACTGAGTCCCTCTTTCTAGGTCAGAGTTGAATGTTGTTCCAAAACCTCCTTGTCATCATAGCCAAAGGCAAGGAAGATAAGGCCAGGCCGTGTTGAATCACATCTCCTGACAATGCTGGCAATGCTGAAATCACTGCTTCTGGGAACTTACAGGGAAATGAATCCAGGTCCTGGGATGGCTCATAACAATAAGCTTGCAGCAATGTTTCGTAAAAAATAGGGGAACAGAGGATTCAAACTGACCTGGCAAACACTTCAGCCCTCCAGGTGTTTTGGACTCAACTCCCACCATTCCTAACAGCCTACCGGCTGTTAGGAATGGTGGGAGTTGAAGTCCAAAACACCTGAAGACAACCAACCCCGCAGGAATGCAAAGCTCACCTGCAACCTGACTTTGGCGGTGTCCAGCGGGAAGGTGATGAGGTCCGCAATGCAGGCGGCTGTGCCGGCCCCCACGAACTTCACTGTGGCCGTGGGAGGGACATCCGTGGGCTTGAATCCAACCATCTTTGTCAAGCTTCCCTCAAGTTATATGGAAGAGATGAAGGAGCCAAAAGCAGAAAACTGCTGGGTGCAGATGTAGCAAAAGACGAGACAAATGAACTCTGGGCCTGTCTGGAAAGGAAGGAAGGAAGGAAGGAAGGAAGGAAGGAAGGATGGAGAAGGAAGGAAGAAAGAAAAGGAAGAAAGAAGAAAAGAAGAAGAAAGGAAAGAAAGAAAAGAGAAGGAAGGAAGGAAGGAAGGAGAAAGAAAGAAAGAAAGTAAGAAAAAAAAAGAAAGAAAGAAAGAGAGAAAGAAAGAGAAAGAAAGAATGGAAGAAGGAAAGGAAGAAGGAAAGAAAGAAAAGAAGGAAAGAAAGAAGGAAGGAAGGAAAGAAAAGAAAGAAAGAAAGAAAGAAAGAAAGGAAAAAGAAATAAGGAAGGAAAGAAGGAAGGAAGGAAAAAACAGAAGAAGGAAAGTAAGAAGGAAAGAAAGAAAAGGAAAGAAAGAAGGAAGGAAGGAAAGAAGGAAGGATGGAAAGATGGAAACACGGAAAGAAGGAAAGAAAAAAGAAAGGAAGGGGAAAAGAAAGAAAGAAAGGAGAAAAGGAAGGAAGGAAAGAACAAAAGAAGGAAAGAACGAATGGAGGAAGGAAGGAAGGAAGGAAGGAAGGAAGGAAGAAAGAATGAAGGAAGAAGGAAGAAGGGAATGAAGAAGAATGAAGAGAAGGAGGGAGGAAAGAAAGAAAGAGAGAAAGAAAGAAAGAAGAAAGAAAGAATGGAAGAGGAAAGGAAGAAGGAAAGAAAGAAAGAAGGAAAGAAAGAAGGAAGGAACGAAAGAAAAGAAAGAAAGAAAGTAAGAAAGAAAAAAGAAATAAGGAAGGACGGAAAGAAGGAAGGAAGGAAAAAACAGAAGAAGGAAAGTAAGAAGGAAAGAAAGAAAAGGAAAGAAAGAAGGAAGGAAGGAAGGAGGAAGGAAGGAAGGAAGGAAGGAAGGAAGGAAGGAAAGATGGAAACACGGAAAGAAGGAAAGAAAAAAGAAAGGAAGGGGAAAAGAAAGAAAGAAAGGAGAAAAGGAAGGAAGGAACAAAAGAGGGAATGAAAGAAAGAATGGAAGAAAGAAAGAAGGAACAGAAGAAAGAAGAAATAAAGAAACAACAAAAGGAAAGAAAGAAAGAAAGAAAGAAAGAAAGAAAGAAAGAAAGAAAGAAAGAAAGAAAGAGGTGTTATTTCCTGTTTAACTGTGCATTCCATACTTTGAAAGTAATTGTTCTATCCCAGAAACTTTGTTTTTGTGGCTGCCACAAACTTAGCTGAGACTCCATGGGATATTCATCAAAAAACTTGTGCTAAAGCAGGATGCCCCTCTTGCAGAAACAAAGTTTGGGCATGTTTTTTTATGATAGAACCAATTAGGAAACGACACTTATAACCCAGGAACAAAAAGCCTGTTACATAGTGTAATACTCCCATATCTCTGGAGAATATGTGCCAGGACTTTGTGTGGACGTGGGAAACCACAGATAATGCAATAAAGTATCTTTCAACTATAGTTCAGGTATGGTCAACTGGGGCCCTGCAGGTGTTTTGGACTCCAACTCCCACCATTCCTAACAGCCTCAGGCCCTTCCTTTTCCCCCTCAGCCGCTTAAGCGGCTGAGGGGGAAAAGGAAAGGGCCTGAGGCTGTTAGGAATGGTGGGAGTTGGAGTCCAAAACACCTGCAGGGCCCCAGTTTGACCATACCTGAACTATAGTGCCTGGGGCTGATGGGAGCTGCAGTCCAGCCTCATTGCATAAAGAGACTTCCCATTAGTGATACATAATTATATCACACGTGATGGAAAGCGGCAACTCCCAAAAAGCAGAAGCAAGTGCGCAAGACCCTTTCACCCGTGAGTCAGCGATAAACTTGGTTGTGCCACCCAAATTATGCTCAGTGGCGCATAGTAGACATTTCAGCTTTTTGGTAAGTTTCCACACACCTGTCCTGTCACTGTTTCGTCAAAATACTCCTCCCTACCAATGTGCATTCCCACAGATTTGAGGGTACTTTCATATGGAAGGTCTCACTAATTTCAGAAACCTGGACCATTCTAAAGAGTAGTTTGGGCATAAAAAATAAACTTTTTGGGGAGATGAAGGAGCTCATCAAATATGGCCGAGGCTTTCTCTGTTGCCTCATCCCCCAAATTTGCAAATTCAGGGCAATTGCTTCACTGCATCGAATAACTAGTTTCCCCAAAAATAAGACAGTAAAGAGACTTCCCATTAGTGATACATAATTATATCACACGTGATGGAAAGCGGCAACTCCCAAAAAGCAGAAGCAAGTGCGCAAGACCCTTTCACCCGTGAGTCAGCGATAAACTTGGTTGTGCCACCCAAATTATCTCCATTTCCTCCATCCTTTGTGAGCAGGGGCGGCTCAACCATTACGCAAAGTAAGCATTTGCAGTATAGTTGATTTTGCCCAGAGGTGCTCTTGAGGCGCTCTTGGGGGAAAATAGACCTTGACATATGCGAGTTGTAGTTACTGGGATGTATAGTTCACCTACAATCAAAGAGCATTCTGAACTCCACCAATGATGGAATTGAACCAAATATGGCACACAGAACTCCCATGACGAACCGAAAATATATATCAATGATTGGTTTGGGGGGGGGGGCAAAATACTGTTTGCTTACCGTTGAAAATTACCTAGGGCTGCCTCTGGTCTCAGCCATAGTTTAAGTCTCATCATCCATGCCCCCTCCTCCTCCAAGCTGCACCAGGGTGTAGAGTGGGTCATGGGGGCTCTTTGTGCCAAGTTTGGTCTTGATCAGCCATTGGATGAGGGTGGCAGTGGACTCAGGAAGTGAGTGAAGGTACTGCAAGTCCCATAATCTGTGGTCTGTCCTCACCCAAACAACACCAGGACGTAAAGTGGGTCATCAGGGGTCTGTGTGCCAAGTTTGGTCTTGATCAGCCATTGGAAGAGGGTGGCAGTGGTCTCAGGAAGTGAGTGAAGGTACTGCAAGTCCCATAATCTGTGGTCCTGTCCTCACCCAAACAACACCAGGACGTAAAGTGGGTCATCAGGGGTCTGTGTGCCAAGTTTGGTCTTGATCAGCCATTGGAAGAGGGTGGCAGTGGTCTCAGGAAGTGAGTGAAGGTACTGCAAGTCCCATAATTCATTGTCTGTCCTCACCCAAACCACACCAGGAAGTAAAATGGGTCATCAGGAGTCTGTGTGCCAAGTTTAGCCTTGATCAGCCATTGGAAGAGGGTGGCAGTGGTCTCAGGAAGTGAGTGAAGGTACTGCAAGTCCCATAATCTGTGGTCTGTCCTCACCCAAACAACACCAGGACATAAAGTGGGTCATCAGGGGTCTGTGTGCCAAGTTTGGTCTTGGTCAGCCATTGGATGAGGGTGGCAGTGGTCTCAGGAAGTGAGTGAGGGTACTGCAAGTCCCATAATTCATTGTCTGTCCTCACCCAAACCACACCAGGAGGTAAAATGGGTCATCAGGGGTCTGTGTGCCAAGTTTGGTCTTGATCAGCCATTGGATGAGGGTGGCAGTGGTCTCAGGAAGTGAGTGAAGGTACTGCAAGTCCCATAATCCATGGTCTGCCCTCGCCCAAACCACACCAGGACGTAAAGTGGGTCATCAGGAGTCTGTGTGCCAAGGTTGGTCCAGGTCTGTGATTTGTGAGGGCCGCTGTGTTGTGTGGAAAGGGAATTGAGTGAAGGTACTACAAATCCCATCATCCATGGTCCATTCTCCCTTGAACTTCACCTCTACTAGGTCTTATTTTCAGGGAAAAGAGGGAGTGTGCTCCATTACACAGCCACTACTGTAGGGTTGGATTGGCTGGAGAAAAGGATTTCCAATATCTGAAAATACTTCTGTGAGTGTTGAGTGATTTTTGCTGACAAGGGCTACTTTTGCATCTACTACACTGACCTTGAGCAAAGACGCTCATCATGCAAGATGTCCCACCCGGAGTTATCACTTCCTTGCTCAAACTGAATCAGCAAAATACTGGGAACTCTCCGAGTCATTACTTCCATGCGAAAGAGCAAAACCACAGCTTTTCTAGACTACGTTCTTGCTTTTTCCACCAAGGAAACCTGAGCCTAGTCACTAATGCAGGCATGGGCAAACTTGGGCCCTCCAAGTGTTTTGGACTTCAACTCCCACAATTCCTAACGGCCGGTGTTGGGCCATGTTAATAAGGGAGATGTTGGCAAGCTGGAATGTGTCCAGAAGAGGACAACTCAAAGGATTAAGGGTCTGGAGAACAAGCCCTGTGAGGAGCGGCTTAAAGAGCTGGGCATGTTGAGCCTACAGAGGAGATATGATAGCCATGTATAAGTATGTGAGGGGAAATCATAGGGAGGAGGGAGTGAACTTGTTTTCTGCTGCCCTGGAGACAAGGATGCAGAACAATGTCTTCAAACTACAGGAAAGGAGATACCACCAGAAAATGAGGAAAAACTGACTGTGATTGCTGTGTGGTGTGTAGTGGAGCCTTCTTTGCAGGCTTTTAAGCAGAGGCTGGATGGCCATCTGTCGGGGGTGCTTTGAATGTGGTGGAGGCTCCTTCTATGGAGGCTTTGAAACAGAGGCTGGATGGCCATCTGTTAGGGGTGCTTTGAATGAGGTGGAATGTGGCAGTCTCTCCTTCTATGGGGGCTTTTAAGCAGAGGCTGGATGGCCATCTGTTGGGGGTGCTTTGAATGTGGTGGAGTGTGGTGGAGGCTCCTTCTTTGGAGGCTTTTAAACAGAGGCTGGATGGCCATCTGTCGGGGGTGCTTTGAATGTGGTGGAGTGTGGTGGAGGCTCCATCTTTGGAGGCTTTGAAACAGAGGCTGGATGGCCATCTGTCAGGGGTGCTTTGAATGAGGTGGAATGTGGCAGTCTCTCCTTCTATGGGGGCTTTTAAGCAGAGGCTGGATGGCCATCTGTCGGGGGTGCTTTGAATGTGGTGGAGTGTGGTGGAGGCTCCATCTTTGGAGGCTTTGAAACAGAGGCTGGATGGCCATCTGTCAGGGGTGCTTTGAATGAGGTGGAATGTGGCAGTCTCTCCTTCTATGGGGGCTTTTAAGCAGAGGCTGGATGGCCATCTGTCGGGGGTGCTTTGAATGTGGTG